GGTGATACTCTGAGTTCTTGTACTTTCTAGATGTCTAAAACTATCTTGACATCTTTGGAAATTTTCTAACCTAGACTTGTAGAATTAAAGACATGGAGCTACCTTAGAAATTACGTGGTTTCACACTGCATTTTATATCTAAAAGTAATGAGACTGTTTCAGAGAAGAAGGGACAGGTTGGCAAATGGAAAGATTCATGAATATGGCATCAGAGCACGAGGGAAGGGTGGAGGGCAGAGAGTGACCTCCCCCCTTCTCCAGATGGAAGGCTCTCAAAGCACAACTGATTGCTGAGCGGACGAGGCTTGGAGACTACGCTGACCTGAAACAATTCTACCGTGACCTCGAGGAGATGGAAGAATGGATCAGTGAGATGCTACCCACAGCCTGTGATGAATCCTACAAAGACCCCACCAACATTCAGGCAAGTCCAAAACAGGAATCTTGGAAAATTTCACCGTTCCCTGATTGTTGCTTAAATGGTCATGCCCCTACACTGACCACTCCTTTACAGTTGAGGTCACTGTGTGTGCCTTAAGGGACTTCTGAGTCTAATGTGAGCAGGTCCTTCAGAAGTCACCATCACTTGGTTATGGTAGAAATATTAATCCTTCCTTTTAAACATAATTACCCTATCTTGCTTCCCTAAATGGGAGCCTAATTTAGTTTATTTTTCCCTTCAGAGAAAATACCTGAAACACCAGACCTTTGAAAATGAGGTTTATGGTCGAGCTGAGCAGGTAGAAGGAGTCATCAACCTGGGGAACTCCCTGATTGAACGGAGGGCCTGTGAAGGCAAGGAAGAGACCGTGAAGGTGAGGGTGCTGCTCAGAATGAGTCTTGGGCTACAAAAGCACATGAAAGGAAACCTATTACTCTTTCAGTGTTTCACGTGTAGGGGTATGGAATACATTCTGTGGTTAGGGGTCTCTCCTCTGATTATTGAACAAGGAGGGAACAAAGCAGTGATACACAGACCTTATCCTTCCCCTCACTCTCAGTATCTAGAGTTCCAAAGAGACTTAGACTTGATTCCCATTCTTATCATGCTTGTTTTACATTTTCCATCCCTTCTGCCAAAAGTCTTTTGGCATTTGAATGCCAGTTTCTATAATGAACCCAGAATTTTTTTTCATTTGTTTTTCTTTTGTCCAACACCTCCTGTTCTTTTCCCAGATTAAGCTTAACTGCTTTGAAATATGTGATATTCAAGTATCACATATTTTGAACCATTCTTACCTCCAGAACTCCCCTACATTATCTTGTTAAGTAATCACAGGGCTCAAAATCCTAAAAACCATAATGACACCTCACTTTATTTGGGTTAGGAGCAATTGGAAGAGCTGGAGAAACATTGGGACTACCTGCTTGAGAAAACAGTTGACAAAGGACAGAAGCTCAATGAGGCTAGTCGCCAACAGAGGTTCAACACAGGTGTTCGGGACTTTGAGTTCTGGCTTTCAGAGGTAATTGCACCTGGAAATGATGGAGGCATGGGGGTATAATAAATATTTGTCAAATAAATGAATTTATACATAAACAATTCCCTTGACCTTCTTGGGAAAAGTTTTGGGGTGTAGCTGCTAATCTTGTTTTCCATAAAGACATTTTTTTAAAATCTGGTAACTTCATCGTTTATTTTTTCATTTCCAGGCAGAGACTCTGCTGGCAATGAAAGATCAGGCCAGGGACTTGGCTTCAGCAGGAAACCTGCTTAAGAAGCATCAGCTATTGGAAAAAGAGATGTTGGCTCGAGAGGTAAGTAGTGCTGGAATCCAGCTCCTCTGGTCAGAATAGGAGTATTTCTGACTTTTCTCCCTCCTAACTTAGGAGACCATTTGAGAACATAGCCTTGAAATACTGACTTTAGTGTTCTCAACCAGCAGTCATTTTAACTAGGTCAGATCCACAGGCTGCAGAGCCATTGAAGCAGTTTCTGTTAATCCATTATTACTAAACTATAGATTGTAAAACTCCATGAAGAAGACCCTAAAAGCCATCTTGTTCATCTTTTTTACTAATGCATACATATACTCATTAACTTCCAAAGCTGTATATTTGATCTTGTCTTTGAAAGAAAGTAGAAGTTTACTTTACAGAATTAGAGAAAAAATAAACAAATCAGATGAAAGCATGTGAAATGAAGTTGAACAGCACATGCTCTGAAAATCATGTGGTGGACTTCAGTTGCATCCTAATATCAATCAAAAATTTGTTGTGGGAGCAGTGATAAAAATGCTGGGAGGTATTAATTTCATACTGGAGAATTTTATATTCTCAGTTTTATTTGGTAATATAGATACACACAAAAAGGGAAAGAAGTCAAAGGCTTTCTAGGTTCAAGTCTCAGGACTT